TCCACCTGTATCCGTAGTGCTGCTCCTACTGCTTTGGCTATCCTTGGCATTGTCCCTGTCCTTGTACATCACCTCCTCATTAAATATCACATCCCGTCTCCTGATGATCTTCATGTTCTTTTCATCCCAAAGGCGATACCCGAACTCATCAATACCGTATCCAATGAATGTGCACTTCTGTGACTTAGCTTCTAGCTTGTCCCTGATATGGTCACTGATATGAACATAAGTCACACAACCAAATACCCGCAAGTGTGAGAGATTTATCTTCTTTCCACTCCAAACCTCCTCTGGAATCCTAAAATCTAATGGAACTGATGGCCCGTGATTAATCAGGTAGGCTGCCGTATGCACCGTATCCGCCCAAAATGTCTTAGGCAGACCTGCATGTAGTCGCATGCTCCGCGCACGCTCTGTCAAGGTCCTGTTCATCCTCTCTGTAATGTCGTTCTGCTGCGGCGTCCCTGGAGTAGTCCTCTCTAAGCGAATCTCATTCGTAGCACAGAACCTCTTAAACTCCTCCAGCTCGTATTCTCCACCATTATCTGATCTCAAGCACTTCACCTTCAGATCTGCCTCGTTCTCGACCATGGCCTTCCACTTCTTGAAGATTTCGAACACCTCTGACTTGTGCTTCATGAAGTAAACCCACACCTTCCTCGAGTGATCGTCGATAAAGGTGACGTAGTATCTCGAACCGCCAAAAGAAGACACACTGGCTGGGCCCCATACATCTGTATGAACCAACTCTAGCTTCTGAGCCTTAGGTGGCCTTCCACCCTTCTGGAAACTAACCCTCTTCTGCTTCCCAAAGATGCAGTCTTCACAAACCCCGACTTCCACGGTGTCGATCCCGGTTAGCTTTCCTTGTGAATGTAGAATTTTTATCCCCTTCTCGCTCATATGCCCCAGCCTATTGTGCCACAGATCTGTACTCTCCTTGCTAGCTACAATTACGAGGGTGTCACTCGCATGTGAAGTGAGGTAGAGAGTTCCTGTTTTATTGCCTCGGGCAACAATCATCGTACCGTTGGAGATTCTCTACGAATCCCCGGTGAATGTTGAAACGTAGCCTTCTGCTCCAAGCTGTCCCACCGAAACAAGATTCCTCTTCAGCTTCGACACGTGTCTCACGTTCTTCAAATTCCACTTAGAGCCCTTTATCTGTATCTGAACGTCGTCCTTTCCAACAATATTGCAAAGTTCATTGTCCCCCAAGTATACTTTACCAAAGTCCCCTGCTACATCGTTCTGAAGTAGTTTCCTATTAGCAGTGGCGTGGAAAGAGGCTCCTGAGTCGATGACCCAAGAATCAGAATCGCTATGCATAGCAAGGATCAAGACATCCTGCACGATATGAGCCTCCTGCTCACCCGCATCCTTCTTTGGTGCTTTACAGACCAAATACATATGGCCCTCCTGGCCGCAGTTCCAACACTTCCCTTTGATGGACCTAACCTTCGAGTTCGGCCTCTTCTTCACTGATTTCGACCGATTCCTGTTCTGGTTCCCTTTCTTCTGGCTTCTGCCTCTCTGCTCGAAACTTAGGGCTGAACTTGAACCTTCTGATTCAGACGATTTCCTTCTAACCTCCTCGGATAGAATCATGCTAACAACCTCATTCAGCTTCAACTTCTCTTTCCCCGCCAAATTGTTGATTGCTGTCACACAACCTGCCCAACTATCCGGCAACTGCGATAGTAGTAGAAGGGCATGCACTTCGTCATCGAACGTGATGTCCACGGAGATAAGTTAATCAACAATCGTGTTGAACTCGCTGAGGTGCATCGTGAAGGACCGTCCTTCTGTCATCTTGAGGTTGAAAAGAGTTTTGACTAGATGCACCTTGTTTGCTGCCGACGGTTGCTCGTACATCTTCGCGAGCGCTTCCATAAGCCCCACCGTCGTCTGCTCCCCGTCAAACTTCTCGATCTTTGATTTGCTTTCCTCTGCCATGGCTTTCACACAAATTGCTGAACGAAGCTCTAATACCAGTTGTTGGGGATTCGAAACAATCAATCGAACCCTTGCCCTTCCGGACCTTGTGTTGAAAGTAGGAAAGTAGGAATAAAACCACAAATAAAGATCTAACTTGTAAAAAACAGTAAGGGAGATGAACACACGGATTTAACGAGGTTCGGCAACGTGCCTACGTCCTCGGGAGCCACACCACACAATCTCTTTATTAATTGAAGAAGAAAATACAAGCTCTCAAACAAGGGGTTAATCTCTCTGAGATTCTCTCTCTCTTTGCAGTCAAAAACTCTCTTTTTGATGTAGTACAAACCCTAAAATCGTTTGGGGTATATATAGAATCCTGATTGAAACTGAATCCCAAAAGGAACAGGAAACTGCCAAAAATACTCGCGGTCGACCGGCCCGGTCGACCGATCAGATTCCAGAGAGTTTGACGGTCGACCGGCGAAATACTTACAGGGTTTTGGCGGTCGACCACAACCTGATCCAGGCCCTCCCAGTCTCCTGTGCACTTTCGCGGTCGACCGACCCGGTCGACCGCAGATCTGTCTGTGTGTTTTTCTGATCTTTTTGATTCCAGCTTTCATCTCGAACTTTGGGTCTAGACTAACATAATGTACAATACAATTATAAATAAATTTGTTTAAATTATTATTTTTTGACATTTTCATACTAATATCGCGGCGTGACGCAGATTAAGCTCTCTACGTAGATGTCCACCGGCTAGGAAGTCTTTCTACATTAATTGATACATAGCTGTCACATCATATGGCCACCTCACAGATTACAGGTAATTAAGAAGGACGAATGAATGAATAATTCTACTAGTGAGAACTCATGAGGTTGTAGAAAACAATATATTCGTTGTCGTGACACAGAGTATAATGACGTCTGGCAAGAAAATCTTAGTCACGGATAATAAGATTAAAAAAGAACATTTTAGATAAGAGACTTTCTTAAAAAACAAAATAAAGATGAAAGTTTCTTGCAAATAATGCATAAACTTAATTAATCTTTCTCCATGTCTCCTATGATGACTATGAATATAGACAATTTGCCGAATCACATAAATCTAGATGTCTCCTATGATTATTATTATTTTGTTATTTCTTGTTCTCTCTAAGAATTGTAGAAAAGATTGTTGTAAAAATTAAAATGAAGCCTAGAAGTTGCAAGCATACAACTTAAACGTTAGAGAGAGAGAAAAGAACAAAAGCAAAAGACAGAGAAAGAGAAAATAAAGCAAGAGGTAGAAGGAAACTAGAATTGATGCTAAAAAGAAACACTTGAGAGTAGAAAGAAAATAAATGCAAGAAACTAGAATTAAGAGAAGGAGAGAAAAACTAATAATTTAGAATTGAGGGGGTGTTTGACAATTCAAAAGTGAATTAAAAATGTGTAAGTTATTGTTATTATTTTTGTTGCAAATGACTTTTGCATCTACGTCGGCACGTAAGTAAAATATAGTGTTTGTTTGAAAAATAAAATTATTTTTCAAAAGTGCAATTCAAAGATGATGTGAAAAAATATCATTAATAGTAAATATAGTTAAAATTACTTAATTAAAATTACTAGTTTTGTCACTTTCATTTGACTTCGTCACTTTTTTAAGGGAAGTAAGAATTGCATCAAGTCCTATATGGCAATTTTCTTACATTTCACTTTCATAACCACTATTATGCAAACAAACACGTAAAATGTTAAAGCAAGTCACTTTATCGCTTCCATTTTTTCACTTATACGCAAACCAAACACCCCATAAAGAAATAAGCAAGTATGAGAAGCTAGTTATTTATGATGGATTCCACTAGATAATTATTATTTAGATTTAAAAATTACTCTCTTTTTATCGTTTATTATCTTAGATTTAAAAAGCATAAACAAGTATAGTTTATCAAATTATAATCCAAGTAACATTAGATTTCATGGATAGAAATAATCAAATTAAAAAGTAATTTTAGAACATTAAAAAGTATAGGTTATCAAACTACTCAAAGAAAATTCAACCTATCAATTTAGATTATTCTACCAATTTCTAATTAATTATTATTCCAAACATGACCAATTAAGCATAAAGAGAGAAATTCTAAAACCAAATAATAATTACACTAGCTTTATCAAATCGTAATTAATAACCTAAGAAAATTAGCTACATATTCATATTAATTCCTAACTTAATTACAATAACAGAAAACATGCACTCAAAGCAAGAATTTAAATTAACTAATTATTAAGCTAGAAATTAAATTATCCTAAGAGACTAGTTAAGCATGAATTAAACTACGAAAAAAAACATGAATTAAAAAGAAGAAAGGCTGAATTAAAAACATGAATCAGAGAAGAAATGCTCACAAAGAGAAAAGCTTGGTTCACAATAATGAAGCTCCTAAATCATCTCCAAATTTCAAGAGGAATTTAGAAAGGAAAAATATTTATTTTATTGCAAAAAGTGCAAAATTGGAAGGCACACAAAATCACCCTTCTCGCCAAAATGGAGTTACAACAAGTTTGCACCGTTTTCCTCAAGTCTAGCTCCCTATTTATAGCAAAAATTAGGGTTTACAATAATGAATTACAACCATTGGATCTCTCAAAACAATCTACACCATTGATTTAAATCGTTTTTGCTCTCTTACTACTAAGTATTGCTATCAGTATTAATAGGGGTATCGATACTAGTATCAATAGCGCTATCGGTA